CAAGATAAACTAAAGTCTGATGGGTGAAGAGGTAATGTAGTGGCGGCCAGAAAGGGACAAGTGGGGCCTTATCATAACAGCCCTGGGACCCAGGCAGGACAGGACCTCCCATTGTGCAGAGGGGGAAACAGGGGCAGAGAGAAGCTGACATTCCCAAGAGGCCAAACTGGGACCACAAGCATTTCTCCTGACTGCAAGAGCCCTCATTCCCTTCTACCTCTTAACAAGGACCCTCATACAATAGCTACCTGTGTGGGACTAGAATGGAATCCAATTGTTTCCAGTCCTGGTTTGGGCTGCTATCCCAGCTCCAGCATCCTTGCCACACTCGGCCAAGGGGGAGGAGAAAGCAGGGGTCCATGAGAACCAATGAACTAACTACATGTGGGGCCGTTGGTGTCTGGCATTATTTTGGGAGGTACTGCTGCCCATCTCCCAGGGGGTAGGAACTAAGGCCTAAGAAGGCAGAAAATTCAGGAGCACCCCCCCCCCCGCAACACACACACACACACCCATGGGAATTTACACAGAACCTTTACATGTATCATCTCTGCAACTCCAAGAACACCTCTCTACTGTAGAGCTGAAAGTATTCAGGCCCAGGGACTGGCTCTTGACTCTGGGACTTAAGTTCAACAAGGGCTGAACTTGGGTTCTCTAATTCCCACCAAAACAAAGTGCTAAAGCTCTGGTCAGGAGTGAGTGGGTCTGGAGTCCTGCTGGAGAGAAGGAGTGGGTCAGCAGCAGGGGACTGCCTCAGAGGCTGGAAGGAAAGTGTCCCCAGGAATGCCAGGGCAGATGGGACCAGACCCCAGCTGGAGCTGTGCTTCTCTACTGGAGGTGGACAGAGGAGAAGGAGAGGAGGGAAGGAGCATGTGGGTGCTTGTAGAAGTACCTGTGTCTCTAACTCCCCCAGGACCCACCAGCCCAAGGTCAGCCTGTGCAGCCAGGAATGTCCATCAATGTCAGAGTATCCAGAGACCTTCTGGGCCTCAGTTTCCCCTTCTGTGGAGTGAGGGCAAGGAGCTGACCACATTGGTGTCCAGTCTCTGCAAGGTTGCCAGCTGATACCCGCATCCAAAAACGTCACACGGAGATTGTTCCCGGGCAGTCCACGAGTCAGAGCTGCCCCCTCCCCTTCCCGCTTCCCTTCCCCTCCCCCTCGGCTCTCGGCTGCCGGGCCCCCGCCCCCGCCCCGCCTCCGGTGTGCGATGGGGGGCGGGCGGCGGGCAGAGCGGAGAAGAGCGGAGCCGCCACCTGATCCCATCCAGGCGCGGAGAGGCGAGCGAACCGGCACTCGGTGCTCAGGGCCCCCGGCGCCCTCCGATCCGCATTGGATTTCGGGACAAGGGTTGGGAGATAGCGGCGACCACCTCCGACCCGGGTCGGAGGCAGAGCCCGCGGCGTGAGTACTGCAGTGGCCTGCGGGGGGCTGGGGGACGGAGGTGGACCGGACCAGGACAGAGATCGGAGCTCGAGGGTGGGCGGGAGAGTGTCGTGGGGGCCTAGTGCCCGGAGAGCATGGGGGGGGGGGGGCGCGCGCTCTGCCCCCTGGAGAGCAAGGGAGGCCCGGGGTGAGGGGGGAATCTGGCCTATCCCCTATAGTGACCAGATCCTGGTGACGGGATCTCTGGAGTAGGTGGGGGATGAAATTGAGGGGATGGGGGCTGGAGGAGCCGTAGTGATGGAGAGAGGGGGATGAGGGGAATTCGGAGACAGGGATGACGTGCGAGTGGATGGCAGGGAGAGGGTGCTAGGGGAACCTGGCAGCAGACTGGGAGGAAAAAGGAAGGAAAAGAGAGAGAGGTGGAAAGATAATATGATCTCCTGGGCCACTTATTTGCAACCCCCTGAGTCCTTGGCCCCTTCCTTTCTAGTGCCCTGGGCTGTTTCCCTCCCTCCTCACTGGGCTGTGCCATCCTTAAGGAAGGATGGAGTCTCCAGGTCATCCAACGGTCAGGTCCGGTGGTCCACGCCAGGACACCCTCCTCCTCTAAAAGCACCCATATTGGCCCTAGGGCTGGGATGGAGACAGAAAAGGGCTCATTTGGGAGTGGGTGGGTGTCCAGGCCAGTTTTTAAAGCTCTGGCTAGCTAGACCATTTTTTTCCCCTTTGGTTCCCTGGAGAAAGGAAAGCAATTTGCAAAACCAGGCAGCAGCCTGAGGTAAATTTTTCTGACTAAAATTAGCACTGATATTCTGATGAGGCTGGGCATCCTGACCTGTCGGACGGCTGGGGAAAACTCTCCATGGAGAAGACACAGGGGAGGCAGAGAGAGTAGTTTGAAGCATGCAATGGGCCAGAGCCAGGACTGCAGGAGACCACCACCCACCCCTTGCCAGCCTGGAGATTACAGAGGTTAAATCCAGCCCCAACCAGCCCCCTTCCCTGGATGCCAGTGCTCAGACTCCAGCTCCATAGGCGGCATCATGGAGAGAACTTGCCAAGGGAAGGGAGGCCTCCTCCATTGTCCAAGCAGCACCCTCTCTCAGGACCTGGAATGTTTAGCCTGGCCGAGTGCCCACCCAGAGGAGACAAGGTTACTGCTTTCAAATACCTGAAGGTCTGTCATGGAGAAAAATGGCCCGTGCGGTCTAGGAGGATAGCACTAGCAATTGTGGGGAGTGGAAGGTGGCAGGGGCAAGCTGAGGAGGGCATTAACAGTGGTGAGCTGGTCCTAGCTGTCCCAGAAACAACTTTTGGACGGCCGAGGCTGCTCAGAAATGGACCAGGCTGTATCTGAAGGTGGTGAGCATCCTGTCACTGATGGTGGCCAAGCAGAAACTGGTGCCTACCCTGGAGGGCTGGTGTCCAGGGAGTGCTGATGATTCCCTATTCCAAGGGGGACCTCAGCCTGGAGTCTGGCTGGCTGGGTCCCCAGGGCTAAGCCATGGATGGGAGTGGGATGGAGAGGACCACCTGGCACTCTGTCCTCCTTCTCTGTGTGGCCTGGTTGAAGCATTTCCCAGAGAAAGCCCAGTGTAGCTCCCTCCAGGCTTGACCTCCTTGGGTGACCCAGAGTCCACTGAAAATAGGGTAGTTTTAGTGAGTGTAGCACAAATGAGAATAGGTTGACACCCCCCCCCCAACTCTGCCTCCTCAAGAAACTCCCACCTTGTCACCAAATCCTCAAGGCAGGATGAGTGGCAGAGGCTATAGGCTCTGACTTCCTCTTTCGGGCTTCCTTACTCCGACAAAGCCAGCCCTTCTCTGCCCCCAGCAATCCTTGAAAACACAGCAGGGCATTAGGCTTTCTCTGCTATGCCCTTGATTGGCCCTCTGTGGCTGTACCCTTCACCTCCCTTGGCTCCAGGCAGATTAAGTGTGTCTGCAGGCTGGTGGAGGAAACAAGGTGATGGGGCCTGGAAAAAAAAGGCATAACCAGGACATCTTTCTACCCAAACAGGTTTAAATGTAATCCAGGATTAATGAGGGGCCGGGGGAGGTAGCGGTAAAGAAGAGGGACTGGAAACCAAGCTCCAAGCCCCAGGGGAAAGTGATGGTCAAAAGTTTTTACATTACCTCATCCCTCCTGGGACCCAGGTGTCCTAGTTCCATATACGTGCAAATGCCCGTAGGGTTTCCGGCTCATTCTCCCCTTTCAAGAGGTGTGTATGTGACGCTGAACCTGAACCCAGACCTGGAGACCAAGGCCCCTGAGATAGAGACCCTACCCTAGTGGGGGGACAGGCATTGTTGCCGAAGCGGACTTTCCACTAGCGCTGCCAAGGGCCGGGCTGCCCTTGAGCCAACGCATTCGTGTGGGGACAGGTGCCTGGCCGGAAACCAGGCCCTTCTTCTGCCTCTCACTCCTGCCACTCACCTGGGATAGGCCCACCTTCTCCTGGAGAGTCTCCACAGGACAACGAGCAGGACTGCCTCTGTCTTCCCCACACTCCCACCCCTCTCTTAGGCTGCCATGTCACGGCCTTGGCCAGGCACCTCTCACTGCAGAGTCAGCGGATGGGGTGGCCAGGGTTTCAGGTGTCTGGGGATGAAATCCAGATAGGGTTCTGGGATTTCAAGTCCTTCCTTTCTTTCCCTCATGGATTTATTGGTCTTGGGTCCTCAGGGCAGGTGCCCAGCGAGGAAGGCTCAGGGCTCCGAAGCATGCAGAACTGTCAGAGTCTAGAACAGGGATGGGAAAGCAGTTCTCTGTGGAAGCAGCACACATAACACCAAGGGGGATGGGCTTTGAAACCAGAAAGAGCAGGTCTGAATCCTGATTCTGCCAACAGCTGTGTGACCATGGGACAAGTAGCACCATCACTTAGAGACTCAGTTTCCTTGTCTGCAAAATGGGGAATCATACCTATGTTAGAGGGTGGTGGGGATTAAATGGAAGTTAAGTATGTAAGAGTGTAGTACATGTTGTAAGCCCGCAGTAGTAATCCCTTGCCCATGTCAAGAGACTCAAGAAGCTATAGGTCTAGTCAGTGGCTTCTGAGTTCAGGCTCTAGGGGGTCAAGACAAGCTCTTGCCTGAAGCAGTCAGGCAAGGAGCCCTGGAGGAGGGAAACCTTGAATTGAGACTTCTGTGCTTTAACCCAAGTCCTGGTGCTAAGGTAAGCCTACTGGGGAGACAGATACAAATGACCACAAGACAAAGATGAATTAGGGCCCAGGCAGAGAAGCCAAGACCGGGCTCAAGGGAGGAGTGGCTACAGCTTGAAGGGTGGCCACACCCCAAAGCCTGTAATTCCACCCAAGACTAAGTTATCTGGAGCAGTGTGGAGATAGGGTCTTGGTAATGGGAGGTAGGAATCCGATCTCTCTGGCTTCTCTGTTCACCCCACCCTCTGGAGCTCTTCTTTGCAGCAGTCTTGCTGGGGCCCACAGCCCATCTCCTCTGCGTGCTGCAAACCTGTTTGCCTCCTTCTTCTGCCAGGCCTCTCAGGAATACTGGCCCTGCTACCAGAGCCCCAGGAGCCCCCATGAGTGCCGGCGAAGGGAGTCCTGGATAGCGAGGCCCTGGCAGGTCCAGGGGTGGGTACCCCAGCATGCCACCCATCCTCCAGCACGTGCAGCAGGCCACCAAGATGATGAGCCGAAGGAAAATCCTGCTGCTGGTGCTAGGGTGCAGCACCGTAAGCCTCCTCATCCACCAGGGGGCACAGCTCAGCTGGTAAGGGGGTGGGGCCTGGGCGTGGGGGCGGGACACAGGCAAGTTGCATTCTTGCCTGGTTGGCAACAGAACTGGGACCTTTCCTTCCCATTCCTTCTATCTGCCAAAAGAGTCTGTCTTCTGCTGGACTTTACTCCTTCACTCTATTCTAAAAGTTCTTTCTATACATTCTCTTTATTTTTATTTGTTTTAAAGATTTGATTTATTTGACAGAGAGAGAGAGAGAGAGATCATAACTAGGCAGAGGCAGGCAGAGAGAGAGGAGGAAGCAGGCTCCCCCCTAAGCAGAGAGCCTGATGCGGTGCTCGATCCCAGAACCCTGGGATCATGACCTGAGCCGAAGGCAGAGGCTTTAACCCAGGCACCCTCTATACATTCTCTTTGGATCCACACAACCTCCCTGGGCAGGCACTGGTCTTCATTGAAAGGTTGCTTGAAAGCACAGAGTTAGTCAGTGACTAAACTGGGATTCTAATCCAGTCCAAGTCCTTCCCACGGCATCATAGTCTGAGTGCCTCCCCCAAAGGACTGCAGACAAGTTATCATTGATTCTGCTGTGCTGGGCAAATCCCCTCGTTTCTCTGAGCTTGTTTCCTCATCTATAGAATGGGAATGATGACATGGGCGACCCAGTCAGCCATCCTGATACAGGATACCATGTGACAACTGATAGGACCCCTTGCCCTACTCCTGGCTCTGTGAACCCAGCAAATCCCTGCACCGTTCAGGGCCTCAACTTTCCCATTTCCTACATGATCTGCTTTGACAATGGTGTGAATGGGCTCAGTTCTCCTTGTTGGAGGATTTGCTGGTCTTCAAGAGGGGCATCTGGGTAGATACTACCCTGAGCCCAAACCAGCCACAGATAGGAAATCTCAGTGGTCTCAAGGGTGCTTAGAGTAGTCCTCATTACACGATGGCGAGGCTAGAAAAGAAATGAGAGTAACTCAGAGTCTGAAGGGAACTTACAGGCCATCTGTAATCCCCAACACCTTTGTTTCAGGGACAAGGAAACAGAAATGAAAGCTTCATGAAGGCTAAGCATATTCTCCGTTTTTCATACTAGCAAAATTCCTGAGCCTTGAATAGTGCCTGGCACATAAGAGATGCTCAAAAGAAAATTTGTTGGCTGAATGAACGAGGCTCCAGGGAACACAACAGAATCATATAGCAAATAGGTTGTCTCAAAGCCCATGCCGTGGGGACTCCTCCTCCATGAGGAGCCAGAGAAAGAGTAAAAGTGAGAAAGAAGACAGAGAACAAGAGAATATAGTGACTTTATCTGAGTTGCCAGTAAATGTAAATGAATTTTCTTTTGGTCCTCAGTTTCTTCATGTGTAGAGTAGACTTTCTCAAGGATCTCCAAGGGCCTCTGCCCTTATATTCGTTATCTATTTCTGTGTAGCCAAATTACCTCAAAACTTAGGTTTTGAACACATCAAACATTTACTATCTTGTTCCTGTGGGTCAGGCATTCACGTGTGGCTTAGCTGGGGATCTCTGGCTCAAGGTCACGGCGAGTTGCAATCAAGCTGGCTGCTGAGGATGCAGTCTCACCTGAAGGTCTGACCGGAAGTGCTCCCCTTCCCGTCGCCCTCATGTGGTTGCTGGCAGCATTGAGTTCTTCAAGCAGGCTGATAGCTGAGGGCCCAGTACCTCCTGGAGTGTTGCCACCTGGTACCTCCCCACAGGGCTGCTCACAGAATGGCAGCTTGCTTCTCCCTGCCTGAGTTATCCCAGAGAGAGAGAGAGAGAGAGAGAGAGAGAGAGAAGGAGAGACACCAAGATAGAAGTCATAGTCTTTTTTTTTTTTTTAAGATTTTATTTATTTATTTGACAGAGATCAAAGTAGGCAGGGAAGCAGGCAGAGAGGGGAGACGGGGAAGCAGACTCCCTGATGAGCAGAGAGCCCAATGCGGGGCTCGATCCCAGGACCGTGGGATCATGACCTCCGCCCAAGGCAGAGATTTAACCCACTGAGCCACCCAGGCGCCCCATAGAAGCCATAGTCTTTCTAATGTAATCTCACGAGTGACATACCTTCATTTCTACCTATTCTGTTCCCTAGTGGCACCAGTAAATCCTGCTCACACTCGGGGGGAGGGAAATGCACAAGAGAGTGAATACCAGAGGCCAGCAGGGATCACTGGGAGTCATCTTAGAGGCTGCCTGCCATACCCTCTACTGGTCCGTGCATGTGGCCCATCTTACCGTCCTGGGGGAGGGGCAGGGGTCGAGACGCACCCCTCACACACTTCCAACCCCCCCCCCCCCGCACACTCCCCCCACCCCGGACTTGGCAGGTACCCCAAGCTGTTTCCTCTGAGCTGCCCGCCTCTTCGGGACTCACCGCCCCGCCCCAAGCACATGACGGTGGCCTTCCTCAAGACGCACAAGACTGCAGGCACCACCGTGCAGAACATCCTGTTCCGCTTCGCCGAGCGCCACAACCTGACGGTGGCCCTGCCGCACCCGAGCTGCGAGCACCAGTTCTGCTACCCACGCAACTTCTCGGTACACTTCGTGCACCCAGCCACGCGGCCACCGCACGTGCTCGCCAGCCACCTGCGCTTCGACCGCGCGGAGCTCGAGCGCCTCATGCCGCCCGGCACCGTCTACGTCACCATCCTGCGCGAGCCGGCCGCCATGTTCGAGTCGCTCTTCAGCTACTACAACCAGTACTGCCCGGCCTTCCGGCGCGTGCCCAACGCGTCGCTCGAGGCCTTCCTGCGCGCGCCCGAGGCCTACTACCGCGCGGGCGAGCACTTCGCCATGTTCGCGCACAACACGCTGGCCTACGACCTGGGCGGCGACAACGAGCGCAGCCCGCGCGACGACGCCGCCTACCTGGCGGGCCTCATCCGCCAGGTGGAAGAGGTCTTCTCGCTCGTCATGATCGCCGAGTACTTCGACGAGTCGCTGGTGCTGCTGCGGCGGCTCCTGGCCTGGGACCTGGACGACGTGCTCTACGCCAAGCTGAATGCGCGCGCCGCCAGCTCGCGCCTCGCCGCCATCCCCGCGGCGCTCGCGCGGGCCGCGCGCGCCTGGAACGCACTCGACGCGGGCCTCTACGACCACTTCAACGCCACGTTCTGGCGCCGCGTGGCGAGCGCCGGCCGAGCCTGCGTGGAGCGCGAGGCGCGGGAGCTGCGCGAGGCCCGGGAGCGCCTGCTGCGGCGCTGCTTCGGCGAGGAGCCCGTGCTGCGGCCCGCGGCGCAGATCCGCACCAAGCAGCTGCAGCCGTGGCAGCCCAGCCGCAAGGTGGACATCATGGGCTACGACCTGCCCAGCGGCGGCGCCGGGCCGGCCACCGAGGCCTGCCTCAAGCTGGCCATGCCCGAGGTGCAGTACTCGAGCTACCTGCTGCGCAAGCAGAAGCGCCGGGGCGGCGTGCGGGTCCGGCCCGAACCGGTCCTGGACAATCCTCCGCCCCGGCCCATCCGGGCACTACCCCGCGGCCCCCCTGGCCACTGAGCTCTCCAGTGGCTGGGTCCTACCCTGCCCACCGGGAGTCCTGCCTGGCACTGCTTGCAGCGCCTGCCTCGTCAGGGCCCCTACTGCTCAGTCCTTGGGGCAGCATCTCCCAATCTGAGCCTGCCTCCCCAGGGTGACTTGAACCCCGCCTTCGTGGAGGGTGCTGATAGGCCCGATCGAGCCCCGGGCCACCCTTTTCTCCTTCCTGACCGGTTGGTGACTTTAACCAGAGGTCTGAGACCTGTCCGGAACTGCCCACCCTGCCTTTTTCTGTGGGTTGAGCCCTCCGCTCCGACCAGTCTTTTCCAAGTGGGTGAGCCCAGGCCTCACGCAGAGGGGGGCTGAGCCCTGGGAAGGGCTGCTTGGCCTGTAAGCTTCCCGGGGCTCCTGCTCTTCCTCCCCGGGGATCAGAGACCCCCACACCATCTGTCTTCCAGGTTCCACCCTCCCCACAGACCTAAGCTGCTCCCAGACTCCAGAACCAAGAGTTCTTGGGTTGGGCTTTTTGTTTGGTTGATTTTCCTTTTTTTTTTTTTTAATAAAAAATCCTTAAAAGGCACAGGTTGTATGTCAGTCATTGAAAGCCAGATATCCCACGTTTGAGAATGAGGCTGGTGCCCCCAAAATAGCCCCTGTGACTGTCACCACGAGGAAGGGGGCCTAGGCTCAATCAGCCTTCCCAGGGGCTCACACCTCTCATCAACACCCCCTTGACTGACTGGGCTTCCCCACGCAGACTGGCCCCCTCAGCTCCACTCTTTTCCTTTGAGAAAATCTAAATTGTCCCTTTTCATTCAATTCAGCCCCATTGATGGAGCATTATCTCCAACTCGGGGACATAGGTGAACAAGGCAGATAGGGTTCATGTCTCTCGTGGGGCGCACAGTGAGACGTTGGGACTGGAGCAGGACCTGAACACTGAAGGAAGGACCAGAGCTGGGTAGAGGGAAACCAGCTCAGGCTGAGCAGGGAGAGGTTGGATGGACAGTCATATCCGATAAGGAGGTGCTCAATTCCCCGGCCCCCTTCTGAGTCACCAGCTTCACCTCTGGCCCTTCCCACAAGGAGAAGACACCCTGACTCCAATGAGGACCATTCCCTGACCCCAGCGTTCTTGAGGACAGCAGGACATCCAGCACTTGCAAATGAAACTCTCAAAACTAGCAGAGAATCAGGACTGTTTGTTACTTTATTCAGAGCTATGTTGACATATCTGGAGAAGTAATAAAAATAACTAACAGAGTCTGCTGTGTACCAGCCACTAGTTTAAGGGCTTTACATACATTAACTTATGAGATGGGCACCATCTAGGGGTGATGGAACTGAAACTTGGACAGATGAAGTGACACTCGGGATCACACAGCCAGGACTTGAATTCAGACTGTAGCTTCAGAGTCTGTGCTCCCTAAGCACTATCACACTGCCATTTGAATGAAGAAGTTCCCATGCCTTAGGCTAGGCTGACTTCCAGGACCTTGCCCTAAAAGAATGTAAAGTGAAGAAACCACGGCATCACTGTCGGCTTCTCTTTTATTTTTAACAGAGACCGGTTTCGACGATGGAGATTGCAACGGTTAGTTCACAGTTTGGATGACAGTCTCTGGGCTGGAAGAGAGGCTATTTTTATAGCACCCCACTTTTTACCAGTAGAGGTCTGGAAAAGGCAAAAGGCATAATTAGAGATGCACAAAGTCATAATTAGGTTTCTGGTGTTAAGCGGCAGTAAAGAATGGTCCTAGACTCAAAGTCATCTATCCAAAGAAAAGCAAGTGCTGGCCCCCTGGCCAAGATGTCTGTCTGCCACTGCCCTCCTCCAGGCCTAGCCTCTAGTCATACCTTTGCCAAGAACATCCTTCACCTTGTCCTGGGTCCTCCTGGAAAACTCAGATTTGCCTTTAAGTTCTGCCTTGATAGGGGTGACTGAATGGCTCAGTTGGTTAAGCGTCTGACTTCGGCTCAGATCATGATCCCAGGGTCCTGAGATTGAGCCCCACATCAGGCTCCTTGCTCAGTGGGGAGCCTGCTTCTCCCTCTGCTTGTGCTCTTTCTCTCTCTGTCGAATAAATAAGTAAAATCTTTAAGGAAAAAAGAAAGATCTGCCTTGATAGACCTCTCCTGCTTTCCTAGCTCCCCTGGCTGGTGGGCCTTCTTTTATAAACTTTGCCCCACTTCAGCAGAGAGCACAATTCTGGACTCAGAAAAATCTGGATTCAAGAATTAACTGGAATTATCTGGAATCATTAGACCCTGGGACAGGGTTTCTCTGCAGAAGCAAATACAGACCCTAAGTAGGTACCAAACCAAATATTAGCCTTCAGTGACTAAGAGGTGGGGGGTGGGGGGGATGGGGAGTGGACTCTGGGGCTCCTTGGTTCAAACACCTCCAGCTTCAGCTACAGGGAAACAGACTCCAGCTTCTGGGTCCCCAGTGCCTTGCAAAGAGGCTTCTTCCAACACGCATGTGCTGCTGTCCACTCTGTGCCCACTCTACACCTTTCCAGAGCTGGGTAGTGGGTGGAGTGTGGTCGCCGCCTCGAGGAGCTCACAGTAAAGTCTGGGACAGATGTGGAAGCAGTTACCTGGGTGACAATGACTTAATGAAAGCAATTACTTGCATCCATGCTTTGGAGTTCAAATCATGACTCTGCCACCTACTGGTTACATGACCTTGGTCTTAGCCTTTGAGTCTCACTTTTCTCACCTATGAAAAAGAACCATTCAGGGGCACCTGCGTGGCTCAGTGGGTTAAGCCTCTGTCTTTGGCTCAGGTCATGATCTCAGGGTCCTGGGATTGAGCCCCGCATCAGGCTCTCTGGTCAGCGGGGAGCCTGCTTCCCCCTTTCTCTCTCTGCCTGCTGCCCTGCCTGCTTGCGATCTCTCTCTCTATCCAATAAATAAATAAAATCTTAAAAAAAAAAAAAAAAGAAAATGAACCATTCCTAAAACAAACAAAACAAAAAAAGAATCATTTCTGTCCTGAGCTCTGTGACAGTATTGGAGATAAGGCACTTGGGACAGTGCCCAGTGTGTGGAAATGTTCCCAAAGTAGCAGGTCTGGTGTCACTGGGGCTCCACCAGGACAGACACCCTCCGTGTTGTAAGTGTTACAGGTCAGCACATCTATTCCAAGGGTTTACTGGCAGATAGAAGAAAACCATTTTGAGGTAGGGGTGCTTTTTTCCTTCCTTGCCCAAAGGCACTATATGGGCAAGCAGCTGCTTGGCTGGTTATGATTATAGAAAGATGGCCAAAATGACTCCTGGGCCATCTGGAGAGGCTCCCTGGGGAAGAGAGGGCCCAGCTGAGAACAGGTACAGGGAAGAGTGCTCTAGACGGAGAGAACCACACATGCCTCCCAGGTGAGAAAGCTGGGGCCTCTGGGAGCCCAGGATTGCTGGGCTACCTGGATGAGAAAAGCACATTGGGGGTGCCAGCTGAGAAAGGCCCTGAATGTCCCACTTGGAAGTTGAGATCATCCTGTGTAGGATGCTGGAGTGAACGGAATGGCTGTGATGACTGTCAGGGAAGGCCGGGCTGTCCCCACAGCGGGTCTCTCACCATCTGTAGCCCCTTCCTTGCTGGCGCATCAGCACACCAGGTAGGGACTCTGTTGTAGATGAAGAGGAGTCACTGAGGCAGGCAGGGGAAAGGTCTCCAGTTGCAAAGGCTCCTGGGAGAAGCCACAAGGATAAGAACAGGGACACCAGCTAACGTCTCCTGAGCACTTAACGATGGGCTGGGGGCCTTTCTCTGTGCCTATGTATTTTCACTCACCTGACTCTTCCACTGCCCCTGTGAAAGAGGTATTACTCTTTAACTCCTTTCCACAGAAGAGGAAACTGAGATACAAAAAGTGTGGTGCCCAGGCTCACCGGGCCAGGAGAGGCTGAATCAGGACAGAACCCAGAGCGCTCAGACTCCCAAGCCCCAGTCCCTGTCATTGGAATCCATTGTTCCACCCCATCAAACTCAGGAGTCTGAGTAGGGTCTGTTCAAGCACCTCCTTGTAGAAGCCTCCAGAGAGCAGGCTTGAGTGGGAGAGAGGGGTAGAGAGCCTGAGCACTTTGGGGGCCTGAGGTGAAGCTGGCGATCTGCCAACATGATTAGGCAGCTTCTCAGGCTGTGTCAGAGGAGCAGGGAGGGACTGCAGGGCAGGAGCCCCTGAGGAGAGGGGCAGCCCCTGGGGGCATCCAACTGAGGGGAAGTAAAGGACAAGGGGAGATAACGAGGGGAGGTGAGAATGGCAGCCACTTTCTCAATCTCAGAGACCTGAGATAGGCTCCTCTGACCCAGAAGTGCTGCAGGAATCTGAGGACCACCGCTACCCACGCCCTCTCCCCTCCAAAAGATCCCCCTGCACCCTCTAGTGGGCAAAAGACAGGACAAGACCAGCCTCCTCATCCGGCTCTCCCTCCCATAAAACCTCATAGGCTTTTCACAACACTCAGGCAAGAAGGGAAAAGGACTCAGAGCCTAGTACCCCATTACAGATGGGAAGACTGAGTCCCAGAGAGGGAATGTGGCTTCAAGCGTGGCCTAGAGTGGGGACCCTCCCATGAGCTGGAGCCACAAGAGGCAGGATCCTGGGTCCTCTATCCCAACTTTGTTTCCAGCCTAGAGCTCCCCTCCTGGGTGTTCCCCAGACTCATCAAACCCATTAAGTTCAAAACCAGACATCTCACCTTTTTCTCAAACTAGCTTCTCCAGTATTCTCAGTTTCAGGAACTGGCAGCCCATTCAAGCAGATGCTCAAGCATCTTGGTCTCTCCTTAAGGTCTCCCTCGCCCTTTCCCCAGCACCACCTGTCACCATATCCTGTAGACTCTGACTTCTGACTAGTTGGCATCTACCCACATCTCCTTCCCTACAACACCTGGGTCGGTCCAAGCTATCACATCAGTTTCTTTACATCAGTTTCTCTATGGTTACTTTCATGACCATACTTAACTGACCTACTTGCCTTGAACACTCCATAGCAAACACAGTCTCCTCTGTGTCCA